AGAACAGGAACTAAAACAGAATCTAAAACAGAACTAGACAGAACTATAACAGAACTAGAACAGAACTAGAACAGAACTAGAACAGACCTAGAACAGAACTAGAACAGAACTGAACAGAACTAGAACAGAACTAGAACAGAACTAGAACAGAACTAGAACAGAACTAGACACAGAACTAGAACAGAAACTAGAACAGAACTAGAACAGAACTAGAACAGAACTAGAACAGAACTAGAACAGAACTACGAACAGAACTAGAACAGAACTAGAACAGAACTAGAACAGAACTAGAACAGAACTAGAACAGAAACTAGAAATAGAACAGAACTAGAAAACAGAACCAACTAGAACAGAACTAGAACAGAACTAGAACAGAACTAGAAACAGAACTAGAACAGAACTAGAACAGACAGAACTAGAACTGAACTAGAACAGAACAGAAATAGAATTAGAACTGAACTAAAACTAAACTAGAACTGAACAGAATTGAACTAAAACTAAACTAAAACTGAACTAGAACTGAACTAGAATAGAACTAGAACAGAACTAGAACAGATCTAGAACAGAACTAGAACTAGAAATAGAACAGAAATAGAATAGAACTAGAACAGAACTAGAACAGAACTAGAACATAACTAGAACAGAACTAGAACAGAACTAGAAATAGAACAGAAATAGAACAGAACTAGAACAGAACTAGAACAGAACTAGAACAGAACTAGAACAGAACTAGAACAGAACTAGAACAGAACTAGAACAGAACTAGAACAGAACTAGAACAGAAACTAGAACAGAACTAGAACAGAACTAGAACAGAACTAGAACTAGAACTGAACTAGAACTGAATTAGAACAGAACTAGAACAGAAACTAGAACAGAACTAGAAACAGAACTAGAACAGAACTAGAACAGAACTAGAACAGAACTAGAACAGAACTAGAACAGAACTAGAACTGAAATAGAACAGAACTAGAACAGAACTAGAACAGAACTAGAACAGAACTAGAACAGAACTAGAACAGAACTAGAACAGAACTAGAACAGAACTAGAACAGAACTAGAACAGAACTAGAACAGAACTAGAACAGAACTAGAACTGAAATAGAACAGAACTAGAATAGAACTAGACTCCAAAGTCTAGAGACAATAGTCTCCATATATTACAGACTTTACCCTCTTTAGTTTACAGACTGTAGTCCCATAGATTCTATACAATAGTTTCTATATATTAAAAGTTTTATTCAAATCCATTGATCCCTTTAGTTCTTTCCGAAAATTCCTTCCAAGGCAGTAAATCTAGGCCGATTGCTTTAAAATGTATGATTTAGCTTAATTTAGCTAAAGTGCTGCCAAGTTCACTGCATGTCATCTAACATAACCTTATTTATTTAGAAATTAAAAGAGAACATTTTAAAATAAATAAAATAAAATATTACTCAATTGCTAGATTGCTTAATTGTTGTTTTCATAATTATATTAAGGAGCGAGCAGGTTTTGTTTTTTTTTTTGCTTTAATTTGCTTTTTAAGTATTTTGAACGAGTAATCGGTTTTTTTGTTATTAAACTTATGCGAGTAATTTTGTTTGTATTTTTGTTTTTGTTATAGAAGGGGGGAGTTTTCATTTCTTTTTTTTTTGTTTAAACAATGCAAATATATTTACATAAATTGCCTCAAAAAATTTGTTATTGTGTTTTGAAATTTATAAACTTGTTACAGTATTATTATTATTATAATTATTATATTTTATTTAATAAATTTGTTTTAAATTATTAACAATTTTTAGCTAAAGTAACTGTTATTGGTTTTTTGTTTTGTTTTTTTTTTTTTATATATTATTTATAATTTAATTATTATGCAATTTCAATTTTGAGGTTATAAAGTTACTTAGTTAAAAAATAACTTTTTTTTTGGTAATTTCATATAATTATTTCAATTATTTTATTATTATTTTTTTATATATATAAAACTAGCCTTAATATTTAATTAAATTTAGCGGTTTGTTTTTAACTAGGCCAAAAGAAAATCTTTTGTTTTTTCTTTAAATATAATTCTTTATACGTATAAGAGTTTTGTTGTTTTTGTAAGCAAAAGTAATCGTTTTTAAATTTTCTGGTTTTGTTTTTGTTGAGGTAAAAATAAACGCTTTTTGTAACTTTGAAGCCTTTTTTAAATTTTGTTGTTTAAAAAATAAGCGGTTTTTTGGTTACAATTGTTTTTATCATTTATTATTTTTATATTTATTGCTTGTTTTCAAAACAAACCGGTTTTTTTTTCTTTAAATATCAGTAATGGTTACTTTTGTTACTTTGTTGTCTTTTTGGGGGGGGCAAAAGTTTGAAAAACACTTGGTTTTCAATTTTTTCATTATTTTTCTTTTGTAAATGGTAATTTTGATCTTGTTTTGAGTATAGAGTTTTGAGAGATTATCTTTAGTTAGCCTTTTTTAAGTACATTTCTTTTTTTTTTGAGTAACCGGTTATTTAATTAATTTTAAATATATCCTATAATATAATTATTATCATCACTACTTTATCTTTATTTTGTTATTATTATTATTTTAAATTTATTTAATTTTATTATTAAATAACACGCGTCTTTATTGTTTTTGCTCTACTTTGTTTTGAAGATTTTTTAAATTTTGTTTTGTGGGGGCTGTTTTGAATACTCGGTAGTTGTTTTGAAAGTAGTGGGTGTACATTTGAATCACTAAAATCTGCTTCAAAAGTTATAGACTATACTCTCTATAGTCAGTAACATCTAGACTCTATAAACATAGGACTATGGTTTCTTTTAACCACAGTCTCTGAACAAGAACTGAACTAGAATTGAACTAGAATTGAACTAGAACTGAACTAGAATTGAACTAGAATTGAACTAGAATTGAACTAGAACTGAACTAGAACTGAACTAGAACTGAACTAGAACTGAACTAGAACTGAACTAGAACTGAACTAGAACTGAACTAGAACTGAACTAGAACTGAACTAGAACTGAAAGAACTGAACTAGAACTGAACTAGAACTGAACTAGAACTGAACTAGAACTGAACTAGAACTGAACTAGAACTGAACTAGAACTGAACTAACTGAACTAGAACTGAACTAGAACTGAACTAGAACTGAACTAGAACTGAACTAGAACTGAACTAGAACTGAACTAGAACTGAACTAGAACTGAACTAGAACTGAACTAGAACTGAACTAGAACTGAACTAGAACTGAACTAGAACTGAACTAGAACTGAACTAGAACTGAACTAGAACTGAACTAGAACTGAACTAGAACTGAACTAGAACTGAACTAGAACTGAACTAGAACTGAACTAGAACTGAACTAGAACTGAACTAGAACTGAACTAGAACTGAACTAGAACTGAACTAGAACTGAACTAGAACTGAACTAGAACTGAACTAGAACTGAACTAGAACTGAACTAGAACTGAACTAGAACTGAACTAGAACTGAACTAGAACTGAACTAGAACTGAACTAGAACTGAACTAGAACTGAACTAGAACTGAACTAGAACTGAACTAGAACTGAACTAGAACTGAACTAGAACTGAACTAGAACGAACTAGAATAGAACTAGAATAGAACTAGAACTGAACTAGAACTGAACTAGAACTGAACTAGAACTGAACTAGAACTGAACTAGAACAGAACTAGAACAGAACTAGAACAGAACTAGAACAGAACTAGAACAGAGCTAGGACGAGCTAGAACAGAACTAGAACATAACTAGAACATAACTAGAACAGAACTAGAACAGAACTAGAACAGAACTAGAACAGAACTAGAACAGAACTAGAACAGAACTTGAACAGAACTAGAACAGAACTAGAACAGAACTAGAACAGAACTAGAACAGAACTAGAACAGAACTAGAACAGAACTAGAACAGAACTAGAACAGAACTAGAACAGAACTAGAACAGAACTAGAACAGAACTAGAACAGAACTAGAACAGAACTAGAACAGAACTAGAACAGAACTAGAACAGAACTAGAACAGAACTAGAACAGAACTAGAACAGAACTAGAACAAAACTAGAACAGAACTAGAACAGAACTAGAACAGAACTAGAACAGAACTAGAACAGAACTAGAACAGAACTAAACAGAACTAGAACAGAAACTAGAACAGAACTAGAACTAGAACAGAACTAGAACAGAACTAGAACAGAACTAGAACAGAACTAGAACAGAACTAGAACAGAACTAGAACAGAACTAGAACAGAACTAGAACAGAACTAGAAACAGAACTAGAACAGAACTAGAACAGAACTAGAACAGAACTAGAACAGAACTAGAACAGAACTAGAACAGAACTAGAACAGAACTAGAACAGAACTAGAACAGAACTAGAACAGAACTAGAACAGAACTAGAACAGAACTAGAACAGAACTAGAACAGAACTAGAACAGAACTAGAACAGAACTAGAACAGAACTAGAACAGAACTAGAACAGAACTAGAACAGAACTAGAACAGAACTAGAAAATAACTAGAACATAACTAGAACAGAACTAGAACAGAACTAGAACAGAACTAGAACAGAACTAGAACAGAACTAGAACAGAACTAGAACAGAACTAGAACAGAACTAGAACATAACTAGAACATAACTAGAACAGAACTAGAACAGAACTAGAACAGAACTAGAACAGAACTAGAACTAGAACAGAACTAGAACAGAACTAGAACAGAACTAGAACAGAACTAGAACAGAACTAGAACAGAACTAGAACAGAACTAGAACAGAACTAGAACAGAACTAGAACAGAACTAGAACAGAACTAGAACAGAACTAGAACAGAACTAGGACAGAACTAGAACAGAACTAGAACAGAACTAGAACAGAACTAGAACAGAACTAGAACAGAACTAGAACAGAACTAGAACAGAACTAGAACAGAACTAGAACAGAACTAGAACAGAACTAGAACAGAACTAGAACAGAACTAGAACAGATCTAGAACAGAACTAGAACAGCACTAGAAAATAACTAGAACTAATATAAAACTGAACTAGAACTAGTATTCAGCAGACTATAGACTCTGTAGTTAGTAAACTTTAGTCTCAATAGTCAATAGATTTAAGTCTCTATTGTCGACATTTCATAGTCTTATACAGTCAGCAGACTATAATCCCTATAGTCATAACAATATAGTCTCTATAGTCGGTAGACTATTGCCTCTATAACTAACAGACTTTAGTCTCTATAATCACCAGTCTATAGTCTTTATAGCCTAGTTTCTTAAGACATCAGACTATAGTCCCTAAAACTTACAGACAATTGACTCCATAGTATGCAGACTATAATCTGCAGAGTACACTGACTATAGTTAGTATAGTGTTTATACTTTTAGACTATATTCCGTATAAGGGTTAATATTATGTTTAAGGTATAATCCCTATTGACTTTAGAATCAGGTCCCTATTATCTTTAGACTATAGTCTTTATTGTATTTAATAGCGCTTTTCGCAATTGAAGTTCTGTAGAAGTTGTAACGACAAAGACTTCAATAGGTTAACTTCATCCATATCTCGTGTTTCTCTGTTATTCTAAATTTATTCTAATCGCTAAGAAATATGTAATGCGACTAAATATTCTGTTGAATAGACTAGGGACTACTTAATCTACAGTAGAGCTTATGTAGTAGTCCATCTTCTTTCAAAATCATTTGAGTATAAAAGTGGCTTAAATGGGACATAGAAAGCGAATTAGCGCACTCGTGAAATAATGACCTTTTAGACAAAATCTCAAAAGAGAAAATTGCGATAAAATTCACTCAGATCAAAATTGTTATAAAATTTACTCGATCTCGAACGTGATAATTCCCTTTGGTTGGTCATTGTTTTGCTGAACTAATCGAAATTCTTTCTGCACACTTATTAAACCTCTACAGCCCCCTTTTTATTTTCTTTCAAATAATAAATATTTCCAATTTTTATAATAATTTTTAAGTGAGATTCTAAATATATTTGTCTTTCCGCCTTCTTAAGGTGTGTTTTTTATAAATTAGAAAAAAAAAATTGTCTTCTTTTTAACTCATTATATCCCTAATTATTCACTTTTAGCTTCATTAATTTAGTTAATTATTTAAATATTTCTTATCAAGTTTAAATACAGTTTACACTTAAATTTGTTGTAGTAAAGTTATCTTTAACTAGGGAGGGAGTACTTCATATTATTTTGTTGTTGTTGTTGTTGTTGTTTGTAGTTCCTTTTAAATTTTGTGTTTGGGATTGTGTGTGTGTGAGTGTCAATTACCTTTACACCTCTGTATCCAGTATATTGCCATAGGTTTCTTCCATAAATTTTGGTGCTATATAGTCTTCATAATAGTTAATAAAGATCTCCTTGTACTCATCGGGTATATATTCGAGGGCATGTAACATTTGCATAAGTTCCTTATCACCGCACTTATAATTGCTTAAAGCCATAACATCCCAAAAATACGACATATATTGAACATATTCAATGCTAAAGGTGCGATATTGGGCCGATACTATATGCAAAGCACTACGCATAATAGAGCCCAATTTATTAAGCTCCCATTCATCGAGTTGTTTTGAACCCTCTGTTTATAGTGTTGAGTTGAATTTTGTAAATAAAAGAGAGAAAGAAGGAAAACGAAATTAATATTTTAATGTCGGTTCAGTTATAGGTTTTAACTTAAAGTTAAAATTTGATATTGTATTAAATTTATTTTTGTTTTTTAATTAAAAAGTGTGAAATTTTAAAAATTTGTTTGAAATGATTCCACTGGCCAAAAGATTATAAATAACTACTAGACTACAGAATAGACTAGGGTTTTCTCTATAAGTAAGCCTTTAGAATATACTAGGGACTAGTCTATAGAGTAAACTAGGGTCTAGTCTATAGAATAGACTTGGGACTAGTCTATAGAATCGACCAGGGACTAGTCTCTAGAATAGACTAGGGACTAGTGTACAGAATAGACTAGAAACTATTCTATAGAATAGACTAGAGACTATTCTATAGAATATACTAGTCTAGTCTAAAGAATAGACTAAGGACTAGTGTATAGAATAGATTAAGGACTAGGGACTAGTCTATAGAATAGACTAGGGACTAGTCTATAGAATAAACTAGGGACTAGTCTATAGAATAGACTAGGGACTAGTCTATAGAATAGACTAGCGACTAGTCTATAGAATAGACTAGCGACTAGTCTATAGAATTTACCAGGGACTAGTCTATAGCGTAGACTAGCGGCTAATGTATTAGATAGACTAGTGACGAGTCTATAGTCTATAGAATTGACAAGGGAATAGTCTATAACATGGACTAGGGACGAGTCTGTAGAATAAACTAGCGACTATTCCATATAAAAGACTAGTCTCTAGTCTATATAATAGACTTGGAACTGGTCTATATAGTAGACTAGAAACTAGTCTATAGAATTTACCAGGGACTAGTCTATAGCGTGGACTAGCGACTAATGTATTAGATAGACTAGGGACGAGTCTATAGACTATATAAAAGACTAGGACCTAGTCTATATTATAGACTTGGAACTCGTCTCTACACTAGACTATAGACTAGTCTATAGATTAAACTATAGACTAGACTATAGATTAGACTATTGACTAGACTATAGAGTAGACTATAAACTAGACTATAAACTAGACTATAAACTAGACTATAGACTAGACTATAGACTAGACTATAGACTAGACTATAGACTAGACTATAGACTAGACTATAGACTAGACTATAGACTAGACTATAGACTAGACTATAGACTAGACTATAGACTAGACTATAGACTAGACTATAGACTAGACTATAGACTAGACTATAGACTAGACTATAGACTAGACTATAGACTAGACTATAGACTAGACTATAGACTAGACTATAGACTAGACTATAGACTAGACTATAGACTAGACTATAGACTGGACTATAGACTAGACTATAGACTAGACTATAGACTAGACTATAGACTAGACTATAGACTAGACTATAGACTAGACTATAGACTAGACTATAGACTAGACTATAGACTAGACTATAGACTAGACTATAGACTAGACTATAGACTAGACTGTAGACTAGACTATAGACTAGACTATAGACTAGACTATAGACTAGACTATAGACTAGACTATAGACTAGACTATAGACTAGACTATAGACTAGACTATAGACTAGACTATAGACTAGACTATAGACTAGACTATAGACTATAGACTAGACTATAGACTAGACTATAGACTATAGACTAGACTATAGACTAGACTATAGACTAGACTATAGACTAGACTATAGACTAGACTATAGACTACACTATAGACTAGACTATAGACTAGACTATAGACTAGACTATAGACTAGACTATAGACTAGACTATAGACTAGACTATAGACTAGACTATACACTAGACTATAGACTAGACTATAGACTAGACTATAGACTAGACTATAGACTAGACTAGACTAGACTATAGACTAGACTATAGACTAGACTATAGACTAGACTATAGACTAGACTATAGACTAGACTATAGACTAGACTATAGACTAGACTATAGACTAGACTATAGACTAGACTATAGACTAGACTATAGACTAGACTATAGACTAGACTATAGACTAGACTATAGACTAGACTATAGACTAGACTATAGACTAGACTAGACTAGACTATAGACTAGACTATAGACTAGACTATAGACTAGGGACTATAGACTAGACTATAGACTAGACTATAGACTAGACTATAGAACTAGACTATGACTAGACTATAGACTAGACTATAGACTAGACTATAGACTGACTAGACTATAGACTAGACTATAGACTAGACTATAGACTAGACTATAGACTAGACTATAGACTAGACTATAGACTAGGACTATAGACTAGACTATAGACTAGACTATTAGACTAGACTATAGACTAGACTATAGACTAGACTATAGACTAGACTATAGACTAGACTATAGACTAGACTATAGACTAGACTATAGACTAGACTATAGACTAGACTATAGACTAGACTATAGACTAGACTATAGACTAGACTATAGACTAGACTAGTAGACTAGGACTATAGACTAGACTATAGACTAGACTATAGACTAGACTATAGACTAGACTATAGACTAGACTATAGACTAGACTATAGACTAGACTATAGACTAGACTATAGACTAGACTATAGACTAGACTATAGACTAGACTATAGACTAGACTATAGACTATAGACTAGACTATAGACTAGACTATAGACTAGACTATAGACTAGACTATAGACTAGACTATAGACTAGACTATAGACTAGACTATGGACTAGACTATAGACTAGACTATAGACTAGACTATGGACTAGACTATAGACTAGACTATGGACTAGACTATAGACTAGACTATGGACTAGACTATAGACTAGACTATGGACTAGACTATAGACTAGACTATGGACTAGACTATAGACTAGACTATGGACTAGACTATAGACTAGAGGGCACTATAGACAGATTTAGAGGGTAGTCCTTTTAAAGACAAATGACTAGACTATAGACTAGACTATAGACTAGACTATAGACTAGACTATAAACTAGACTATAGACTAGACTATAGACTAGACTATAGACTAGACTATAGACTAGACTATAGACTAGACTATAGACTAGACTATAGACTAGACTATAGACTAGACTATAGACTAGACTATAGACTAGACTGTAGACTAGACTATAGACTAGACTATAGACTTGACTATAGACTAGACTATAGACTATAGACTAGACTATAGACTAGACTATAGACTAGACTATAGACTAGACTATAGACTAGACTATAGACTAGACTATAGACTAGACTATAGACTAGACTATAGACTAGACTATGGACTAGACTATGGACTAGACTATGGACTAGACTATAGACTAGAGGGCACTATAGACAGATTTAGAGGGTAGTCCTTTTAAAGACAAATGCCTTATGATCATAATGGTCATAATCTTGGCCAGTGTTATATTCCAAACAAAATATGTGAGTGTAAAAATCGAAACTAAAACTTTTTTTAGGCGGAATAACCTTAAAAAATACTGGTTAAATACTGTTTACTTGTAAACTAGCGAGTAGATAGTTTATTTTATTTAATAGTTTTAATTAATGAAATAAAATCTTATGAATAAAAAATGTTTAATTACAAGAGTTATTGCTGTAAACGAGTATGTAAGGAAACCTTTAACAAGATATATTTATATACATTTTTTTGATAACGAGTAGCGAGTAACGAATTATTACGTTTGTTTTTAATCGTACTAGTCTGTAAATAGTTATAAAATGGGGTAAAAAAATTATTTATATATTTTTTTTAAATATTACACCATAAAACAATAGATACTTTTTAAACTTAAGACAAAAAAAAAGAAAAATTCTAAAGAAATTCTTTAAATATTTAAACTAGCGAGTAGTTATTAGTTAAATATTGTTTAATAACCTAAACTATAGCTACAAGTAATTAAAAAATTTTTAAAAACTAGCAAAATCTACTTAATATTTTAAATTGTATTTAATACATTATTTTTTTTAATTTTAAAGAATTTTCTAACAGTTGAAAAATCTTTAAATTAAACATAAATATTTTGTTTGTTTTTTTTTGTAATTTAACCATATTTTTTAAAGGGGGTTGGGAGAGAAATAATATACGAAAGAAAATTTACAAAAATATAAATGAATTTAAAATAAAAAATATAATAAAAAAGAAAAAAAATAATAGACAAAATTAACCCAACCTACCTCTGTGTATTAACAAACATTGTTCGACTAATTGACGTGCTAGTGCCACTTTCAATTCGTGTGTATCGACGAGTTGTTTATCGGCTCGTTCAATCGCCGCATATAGTTTGCAACGCTCCTCAATTGTATCACAGTCCATCAGGGCAGCGGTGAATGTCCAAAACCATTCGAGTTTTTGGGTCTGTTCACATTCGGTACAAACTAGCAATTCGGAACCATTATTTTCGGGTCTTCGATAATAATCGGATTTCCACCATTGTAGATTACGGGTGCGTTTAAGATTTGATGGTGTAAAGATTTGTTTGCAATTCGGATTATCACAGCGGTAACGATGAAATTTATGCTGAAATTTTTGTGTCAAGTGGTATTGGTTGCAATATGTTTTCATTTCGATTTTTGTTTTGTTTTAATTGATTTTTTTTTCTTTAAATTTGTTTATAGTATGTATAAATTAACTTTAAATTACATTTAATATACAACAGTTAAATGTTAAAAAAAACGGAAATTATTTGAAAATAAAAAGCGTGTTAATGATAAATGATTTGAAATTTTTAGTTAAGAGTGTAAATAAAATGATTAAAAAGTGAGTTAAAGTTAAAGATTCATACTACTAACTTCATTATACCCGAAAAATGGGTCCAATTCCTGAGAGGCTTTACTTCAGACGATTTTAATTTCAAAAATGATTCAATTATTCTGCTATCGGTCTACAGCTTTGACAATAGGTCAGTCTATAGATTTAGCTATTGATCAGTCAATTGTCTTGACTAATGATTAGTTTATAGTATTACTATAGATCGGTCCATAGTCATGACTAATTAATAGTCTTATCTATAGATCAGTCTATAGTCCATGCTTTAGATTAGTCTATAGTCTTAACAGATTTATAGTCTATAGTTCTCGCTATAGATCAATCAATAGTATTCAGACGATTTTAATTTCAAAAATGATTCAATTATTCTGCTATCGGTCTAGAGCTTTGACAATAGGTCAGTCTATAGATTTAGCTATTGATCAGTCAATTGTCTTGACTAATGATTAGTTTATAGTATTACTATATATCGGTCCATAGTCATGACTAATTAATAGTCTTGTCTATAGATCAGTCTATAGTCCTTGCTTTAGATTAGTCTATAGTCTTAACTGATTTATAGTCGCTATAGATCAATCAATAGTATTGACTATATTATACCCGAAAATGGGTCCAATTCCTGAGAGGCTTTACTTCAGACGATTTTAATTTCAAAAATGATTAAATTATTCTGCTATCGGTCTACAGCTTTGACAATAGGTCAGTCTATAGATTTAGCTATTGATCAGTCAATTGTCTTGACTAATGATTAGTTTATAGTATTACTATAGATCGGTCCATAGTCATGACTAATTAATAGTCTTGTCTATAGATCAGTCTATAGTCCTTGCTTCAGATTAGTCTATAGTCTTAACTGATTTATAGTGTATAGTTCTCGCTATAAATCAATCAATAGTATTGACTATATTATACCCGAAAAAATGGGTCCAATTCCTGAGAGGCTTTACTTCAGACGATTTTAATTTCAAAAATGATTCAATTATTCTGCTATCAATTATTATCTGCTTTGACAATAGGTCAGTCTATAGATTTAGCTATTGATCAGTCAATTGTCTTGACTAATGATTAGTTTATAGTATTACTATAGATCGGTCCAACAATTATGAAGGGCAATGACCACAAAAATAACTCGTCCACCTTATAAAACATTTATTTGAAATTATAAAATGGAAGTGATTTTGATGTTGCAAATTAAAATAATCAAACTTAAATGAAGAATGACAGTTTAGACTTTTGACAGATGAAAAAATTTCACAATTTTTTACAACAAAATTTAACATGGATAGCTTAGAAGTAAGAGTATCGGCTGATATTATAGTCTTGTCTGACAGATCTGTAGTCCTGATTAGAGCGGTCTATATAAAATGGACTATAGTCTCGACTATAATCAGACTATAGTATTGACTATAGATCAGTTTGTTGTCTCTACTATAGATCAATCCATATTCTTGACAATAGATCAGTCTATAGTCTAGACTATAGATCAGTCTATTGTTTAGACTATAGATCTATATATAGACTTGACTATAGATCAGGGAATAGACTATAGTATAGACTATAGGTCAGTCCATAGTCTTGACTAAAGATCAGTCTATAGTCTTGACTATATATTAGTCTATAGTCTTGACTATAGATCAGTTTATAGTCTTGACTATAGATCAGTCTATAGTCTTGACTAGAGATCAGTCTATAGTTTTGAATATTGATCAGTCTATAGTCTAGACTATAGATCAGTCTTTAGTCTATCTATAAATAGACTCTATAGATCTATCTATAGTCTTGCCTATAGATCAGTGAATTATGTTGATAGTCTTGAGATTAGTGAATCTATGGTATAAGTTAGTCTATGGTATTAACTATATATTAGTTTATAGTATGGACTATATACTATAAATAAGTCTATAGTTTTGACTAAAGATCAGTCTATAATCTTGTCTAAAGATCAGTCTATAGTCTTGACTATAGATCAGCCTATAGTCTTGGCTGTATATCAGTCTTTCGTATGGACTATAGATCTGTATATAGACTTGGCTATATATCTTTCTATAGAACAGTTTGTAGTCTTTACTATAGATCTCTCTATAGTCTTGACAATAGATCAATCTATAGTCTTGACTATAGATGAGGCTATAGTCTTGACTACAGATCAGTCTATAGTCATGACTATAGATCAGTCTATAGACTATAGATCAGTCTATAGTCTTGACTATAGATCAGTCTATAGTCTTGACTATAGATCAGTCTATAGTCTTGACTATAGATCAGTCTATAGTCTTGACTATAGAGCAGTCTATAGTCTTGACTATAGATCAGTCTATAGTCTTGACTATAGATCAGTCTATAGTTTTGACAAAGAATCAGTCTATACTCGTGACTATGGATCAGTCTATAATCTTAATTATAGATCGGTCTATAGTATTGACTATAGATCATTTTGTAGTTTTGACCGTATACTAAAACAAGTTGTCGCCAAAGAAGACCAATGAAATATATATGAAATATGAACAATTAAACTTAAAACACAATTTAAAATAAAACATTTCCTTAGTGATAGATTAAACTTAAAACAAAGGGACACTAACAAATAAAAACCCAAAAACATTCAGTTTTTCACTACCTTTACTAAACAAATGACATTCGCAATTAACCAAAAAAAAAAAAAAGAAAGAAAAAACAACTGAAAACTTTTAATAACAACTTTCATTCCGTTTCCTTTAATAAAGTGAAAAAAAAACATTATTTATATTGGACATTTAAGTAACGAGTAAAGCATTCTTCCAACATTTTAATGGTTGTTTTGAGGTGTCTGTTGGAGGAGCATGTTTGTTTTAACTGTTTGCTTAACTGTGTCTTTGAGTAGCAGTGTTTAGTAAATATATTTTGAATATTTCATACAATTATATTGTTAAAGTTTACAAGAGAAAAATACAATAAACTAAACACACACATACACGCTTTCAAAACAAAGTTCCGCCACATTTTCCAAAAAAAAAAAATCAAAATGTATTTAAGTATTAGGTTAAAGTGGTATGAGTATTTAAGAAAATAATAATACAAATCCATCAATCAAAATCACAACACCAAAAAAAAACAAAAAAACAAAATTAACATTAAATCACAAGAACACCCACAACAACAATGAAATTGTAAAATTAAAAAGAAAACAAAAAATAATAATAATTTAAACTAACATTATTATAGCGTTAAATGAGGTAAATATTTTTTTTGGTGGGGGACGAGGGTAGGATGAGTTCTTTTGAGGAGCTATTCAAAAAAAATACTTACAAAATCCTCATCAGGATATGGACGAAAACATTTTTCGCATTTGCAATCAATGCCTCGTGTTGCCAGTTCCAATTTACGTTGACTGTACAGCGATTGTCGATAGTTCCCACTAACAAAACAATTGCAAATGCAAGCATCTGCTGGTATTTCACTTGTGGCATAGGCGGTCAGCTTGCAACCGTTGATCTTGCGATAGATCATATCGACACAGGAGTGACGACAGTGACTAAGGGTCTGGGGGAATACGGCATACGCTACAGTCGTTACATCACCGGCTATTAGATGTAAATAACCGCGACGTACATGACGCACCGTTTCCCACAGGGTAAACTCATCGTTGGGCGAGAGTACGTGCGGATCGGAGGGCAGCACAAAGGATGGGCAGTGAACGAGATTTTTGTGCCGCAACTGGCAAATGTGACGCAACAGCAAAGCGGACGCGAGCAATTCCCATTCCTGACGCGCTAGCTTTGCTGCTGCGGGCATTGTCAGCTCGAGTAGTTCGAAAAAGTCGGTGTACTCGCCCAAATAGATGGCAAGTATGTGTGCGACAATGGCAAAAGAAACCATACTTGGCTTTTCCTCCTTATCTAAGTGGGATTCTAAACGCAATAGGGCAGAGTACGATGTGGAGGAGGCAGCTAGCGAGGCGGACGAAGAGTTGCAATTGCGTTCGGTCAGTATGCTATTGAAGGCATTCCACATCTTGCTGACCGTGGGTTTTTTGCGACAGTGTGGCACCACCTGAGGTAGGCCGTTGATGAGCATGCGAAAGGCGAGCTGTAGTAGGCGTGGCTTTGAGAACTCAACACCGAACTCTTCGAAAAGTTCGATCTGATGGGCATAACATTCGAGAGCATGTATGGAAGCGTGTGCCGCACGGCACTTGCGTGAACAGTAGACGGCTGTACGATTAGAGCAAAAAATGCATGGAAACGGTACGAATTGTGTGACGCCACAGTGATCACATATGCGTGCTGCGCCACTGGGCACAAAAACGGCGGCTTCCTCTTGAAATATGGGTGTATTATTGGGTATATCAGCAATGGATCTAAGATAGGCGCTTTTTGTTGTTGTTATAACATTAGTATTGTCCAACCAAGCCCTAGAAGAACAAGCAATTTAATTCGTTATAACTAAAATAGTAAAATCATTATAAAAAAAACTTACACTTCATAGATTTTAGTACCATTAGTTATTAAATCGTTGTCTGTTTGTACACCCATCTCAATCTTTTCGGCTTTTTGTACTTCACATTCATGCCACAGCTCGTGGGTGCGTGCTTCAAAGGTTTCCGAGAGTTCCATGTGTAAGAGTTCATGCAAATGTTGTTCGCATAAAGAAAAATTACGCATTTTTAAGGCACAAGAGGCTTGACGCAGTTTTATCAATGGATGATACTCTTCCGGATAGCCTAAATCTAAGGCGCATAAACAATCATCATAGGATTGCTGAAAATAGGAGATATAAAGAAACAATTTAGACTTTAATATTTCACCAATAAAATTGTTCTTCTGTGTAATTAGTGTTAGTCATATTCAGTGATGTCAACTTTTTTTACACCATTTCCCGTCAAATCAAGCTTGAAAATCTACTAGAAACTAGACTATAGACTAGACTATAGACTAGACTATAGACTAGACTATAGACTAGACTATAGACTAGACAATAGACTAGACTATAGACTAGACTATAGACTAGACTATAGACTAGACTATAGACTAGACTATAGACCAGACTATAGACCAGACTATAGACTAGACTATAGAATAGACTATAGACAAGACTATAGACTAGACTATAGACTAGACTATAGACTAGACTTTAGACTAGACTATAGACTGGACTATAGACTAGACTATAGACTAGACTTTAGACAAGACTATAGACTAGACTTTAGACAAGACTATATACTAGACTATAGACTAGACTATAGACTAGACTATAGATTAGACTATAGACTAGACTATAGACTAGACTATAGACTAGACTATAGACTAGACTATAGACTAGACTATAGACTAGACTATAGACTAGACTATAGACTAGACTATAGACTAGACTATAGACTAGACTATAGACTAGACTATAGACTTGACTATAGACTAGACTATAGACTAGACTATAGACTAGATATTAGACTAGACTATTTACTAGACTACAGACTAGACTATTGACTAGAATATAGACTAGACAAGGGACTAGACTATAGACTATACTATAGACTAGACCATTGTCTAGACTATTTACTAGACTATTTACTAGGCTATAGACTAGACTATAGACTAGGCTATAGATCAGACTATACACCAGACTATAGACTAGACTATAGACTAGACTAGACTATAGACTAGACTTTAGACTGGACAATAGATTAGACTATAGTCTAGACTTTAGACTGGACTATAGACTAGACTTTAGACTAGACTATAGACTAGACTATAGACTAGACTATAGACTAGACTATAGACTAGACTATAGACTAGACTATAGACCAGACTATTGACTAGACTATAGACTAGACTATAGACTAGACTATAGACTAGACTATAGAATAGACTAGACTAGACTATAGACTAGACTATAGACTAGACTATAGACTAGACTATTGACTTGACTATAGACTAGGCTATAGACTAGACTATAGACTAGACTATAGACTAGACTATAGACTAGACTATAGACTAGACTATAGGCTAGACTATAGACTAGACTATAGACTAGACTATAGACTAGACTATAGACTAGACTATAGACTAGACTATAGACTAGACTATAGACTAAACTATAGACTAGACGATAGACTAGACTATAGACTAGACTATAGCCTAGACTATAGACTAGACTATAGACTAGACTATAGATTAGACTATAGATTAGACTATAGATTAGACTACAAACTAGACTACAAACTAGACTATAGACTAGACTACAGACTAGACTATAAACTAGACTATAGACTAGACTATAGACTAGACTACAGACTAGACTACAGACTAGACTATAGACTAGACTATAGACTAGACTATATACTAGACTATAGACTAGACTATAGACTAGACTATAGACTAGACTATAGACAAGACTATAGACTAGACTATAGACTAGACTACAGACTAGACTATAGACTGGACTATAGACTAGACTATATACTAGACTATAGACTAGACTATAGACTAGACTATAGACTAGACTAAAGACTAGACTATAGACTAGACTATAGACTAGACTATAGACTACACTATAGACTAGACTATAGACTAGACTATAGACTAGACTATAGACTAGACTATAGACTAGACTATAGATTAGACTATAGAATAGACTATAGACTAGACTATAGACTAGACTATAGACTAGACTATAGACTAGACTATAGACTAGACTATAGACTAGACTATAGACTAGACTATAGACTAGACTATAGACTAGACTATAGACTAGACTATAGACTAGACTATAGACTAGACTATAGACTAGACTATAGACTAGACTATAGACTAGACTATAGACTAGACTATAGACTAGACTATAGACTAAACTATAGACTAGACGATAGACTAGACTATAGACTAGACTATAGCCTAGACTATAGACTAGACTATAGACTAGACTATAGACTAGACTATAGACTAGACTATAGACTAGACTATAGATTAGACTACAAACTAGACTACAAACTAGACTATGAACTAGACTACAGACTAGACTATAGACTAGACTATAGACTAGACTATAGACTAGACTATAGACTAGACTATAGACTAGACTATAGACTAGACTATAGACTAGACTATAGACTAGACTATAGACTAGACTATAGACTAGACTATAGACTAGACTAGACTATAGACTAGACTATAGACTAGACTATAGACTAGACTATAGACTAGACTATAGACTAGACTATAGACTAGACTATAGACTAGACTATAGACTAGACTATAGACTAGACTATAGACTAGACTATAGACTATACTATAGACTAGACTATAGACTATACTATAGACTAGACTATAGACTAGACTATAGACTAGACTATAGACTAGACTATAGACTAGACTATAGACTAGACTATAGACTAGACTATAGATTAGACAATAGTAAATTTGGCCACAGTGGTCTTGTTATTTGTTTGAATTTGTCACGATGAAAGGAAATATTTATTCACACTCCACTCTCTTCTCCCTTCTAATTATTAATAACTAATAATAGGGAATTTATAATTATATACATGTTACTTATTTACACGTACCACTGCACTCTCTATACACTTCACTCCACTCCAATGCACTTCATTCGCTTTAAATAACGACAACATTGCTGTCATCAGCAACACCAGCCAAACTAATCACAGCCACATCCGTAAATGTAACTGCAGTGTGTGTTAGTGTTTATTTGATAGTGTGAGTCTGAGTGCAAGTGTGTGTGTGTGTGCGTTTGTGATAATTTTCTAGTTGCCTTACCTCATACATGCCGCAGTCATGCAATACTGTGGACCTATTTGCGTGCGCCATTGCGGCTGCTATACTATCTTGTGATGGCGCCAAAAATATTGCTTCCGTATAGAGGTCACATGCTTTAAGTGCATGTCGTTCTTTACGATAGGAATCATTGCCGGCTTCTCGCATTCTTCTCGATTCTTCATCGGATTTGAAATCTTCAGTTCTGGCGCGTAGCTGTTGAAACCATTCAATTACCAGTGATCTAAAGAGAGATGAAAAGAGAGAAGATTAGTAAGTTATAAGATTAATTGGATGTAAAATAGTTCAATAATGATGGTAACCCTAAAAGCATTCCAAACTTAAATTGCATCTTTACATTTGAAGGCTTAATTCAAAATTTTCGAGCTTTATTCGAGGAGTATTTTCTCTGATAAAATCCATTACAGTTTCAGACGTAATAGAGTTGAAGGGAGTTTAAAGCTGATAAACATCAATTTCTTCTGAGTAATTTTCCACATTATCAAACTTGTCTAAAAGGACAATGACTTTCTCCTTTTCTGGAATTATTAAGCATTATTATTCTATAATTTGTTGCCAGGGTTTTCAAGATGTTCCAATGACTTTCAATAATCTTGAAGTCTTAATAAAAATTCTTTATTAATCATCTAGAATTGATTTCACAAAAAAGATTAAGAAAAAGATGACAAACACTTGAAGTAATTAATTAATATCGTCATTCCGGGATGCAACGCCCTTTTAAATGATAATCAAAAGGATTACGATGTATAGTTCAGAAACTGACAAGTGTTGATGACCAAGATAATGACATAACCATGACAATAAAAAACTGATAGAGGAATTATTTGATTGCTTTTGTGGCAATATGTAATATCACAAAGTGTGGAGTCAAGGAAACAGTTATAGAAAGGATATTAAGGTATTCTTGAAAGATTAATAAAATTTTATTAAAAAAAAACACACCATACACAGGTATAAAGTGACAATTGCTGAGTGAAGAGGAAATCATATTAAAATACACTTTTAAGGGAAATCAGTTGGAATATGGCAAATAGAGAGGAAATAAAAAACACTTTTTAAAGCATTCAAGAGGAAATAGAATGCTAAAATATTAACGTTATATGTAAAGCTTTCAGAAATGACACTAACATGCTGATTATCCCTGTTATACTGAAACCGGGCAACAATAAGGAAATCACCAAGTATAGGAAAAAGGATAAGATAAGCAAGCAGATTACATTTAAAAAAAAAAAAGGAAATTTCAATAGTTTATAAAGATATTAATACATATCAGACATGGAAAGTTGAAATTTTAAAATATTAACTTACTATTAGTACTTTTTAAACTAATTTTCAAGACTATAGACTCGTCTAGAGTCTAGAACGCAGACTAGACTATAGAACAGTATATCACTCCCTAATAGACTAAACTATAGACCAGACTATACACTAAGCTATAGTCTAGACTATAGACCATATTATAGACTAAACTATACACTTGGCTATAGACTAGACTTGACTATACACTAGGCTATAGACTAGACTTTACACTAGGCTATAGACTAGACTATACTGGACTATAGATAGACTAGACTATTGACCAGACTGTGGATTAGACTATATAATAGGCTAGAATAGATTATGGATTAGAATATAGACTACACTATTGACTACTCTATGTACTAGACCATAGATTAGACTATAGACTAGAAAATTGACTACACTATAGACTAGACAATAGAATAGACTATACACTAGACTATACACTGGACTATACACAAGACTATACACTGGACTATACACTAGGCTATAAATTATGCTATAGGCTATAGAATAGACTATAAACTAGACTATAGACTAGACTATAGACTATGCTAAGACTAGACTATAGACTGCACTATATACTATAGACTAGACTTTACACTAGACTATAGACTATACAAGACTATGCCTAGACTATAGACTCGACTATAGACTAGACTATAGACTAGACTATAGACTAGCCTATAGACTAGACTATAGACTAGACTATAGGACTAGACTAAGACATATACTATAGACTAGACTATAGACTAGACTATAGACTAGACTATAGACTAGACTATAGACTAGACTATAGACTAGACTATAGAATAGACTAGACTAGACTATAGACTAGACTATAGACTAGACTATAGACTAGACTATAGACTAGACTATAGACTAGACTATAGACTAGACTATAGACTAGACTATAGACTAGACTATAGACTAGACTATAGACTAGACTATAGACTAGACTATAGACTAGACTATAGACTAGACTATAGACTAGACTATAGACTAGACTATAGACTAGACTATAGACTAGACTATAGACTAGACTATAGACTAGACTATAGACTAGACTATAGACTAGACTATAGACTAGACTATAGACTAGACTATAGACTAGACTATAGACTAGACTATAGACTAGACTATAGACTAGACTATAGACTAGACTATAGACTAGACTATAGACTAGACTATAGACTAGACTATAGACTAGACTATAGACTAGACTATAGACTAGACTATAGACTAGACTATAGACTAGACTATAGACTAGACTATAGACTAGACTATAGACTAGACTATAGACTAGACTATAGACTAGACTATAGACTAGACTATAGACTAGACTATAGACTAGACTATACTAGACTATAGACTAGTCTATAGACTAGACTATAGACAGACTATAGACTAGACTATAGACTAGACTATAGACTAGTCTATAGACTAGACTATAGACTAGACTATAGACTAGACTATAGGCTAGAGTATAGACTAGACTATAGACTAGACTGTAGACTAGACTATAGACTAGTCTATAGACTAGACTATAGACTAGACTATAGACTAGACTATAGGCTAGAGTATAGACTAGACTATAGACTAGACTGTAGACTAGACTATAGACTAGACCATAGACCAGACCATAGACTAGACTATAGACTAGACTATAGACTAGACTATAGACTAGACTATAGACTAGACTATAGACTAGACTATAGACTAGACTATAGATTATACTACAGACTAGACCGTAGACCATACACTGTAGATTAGAATATAGGCTATACATTAGACTTAATTATGGACTAGATTATTGACTAAGCTATAGACTGGTCTATAGACTAAATTATAGACTAGACTATAGACCAGACTATATACTAGTCTATAGACTATACTAGACTATAAATTGGAATGTAGACTATACTACACACTAACTATAGACTTGATTATAGACTTGACTATAGACTAGACTGTTGACTATTTTATAGATTAGACTACAGACTAGACCATACACTAAATATACTGTAGATTAGAATATAGGCATTAGAATATAGACATTAGACTTAATTATGGGCTAGATTATATACTAAGCTATAGAGTAGTCTATAGACTAAATTATAGACTTGACTATAGACTAGTCAATAGACTATACTAGGCTAAAAATTTGGAATGTATACTATACTACAGACTAACTATAGACTTGATTATAGACTTGACTATGGACTAGACTGTTGGCTATTCTATAGATTAGACTATAGTCAATACTAGATTAAAAAATATTAAAGGACGCAGTTTTCCATGTCTGATACATACACACATATTTAAGCTGAATATAACATTTTATAAGTAGGATGCTTGAGGAAAAGGAAATGAACTGCAATTCGTGGGAGAGAAGGTGAAAGATGGAGAGCGGAAAAGAGCCTAAAGAAAGAGAGCTTGAAGCATAAACTAAGCTAAACTAGGAAAGCAAGGATTATTTAGTAATAAAATCCTTATAAATAGTTAAGTTTACAATGAAAGAGGGGGAGGAGATATAAAGAAAACAATAATTTAAAGCAATCTAGACATTTGCGATAACACGAGCCAAATCTTCAAAATGAACTTCCTGCAGTAAATGTCAAATTTAAAAATTGGCAGTGATTCATTCTCTACTACCTGCTACTAGCAGTATAAGTAGTTTGTGTGTTTTCTACTCAAATTTACGCTAAAAAAGGAAATTGAAAAAAAATTTAGCTAAAATACACAAGAGGAATCAATTAAAAATTGTGTTCAACACGAAACCAACAACCGCCAACTATAGAAAAAATTTGAAAAAAAAAAAAAAAAAAAAAAAATATGATAAAGTCAAAACCATTAATTAAGTATCGAAATGTTAGTTTGCCAAATTCTGTTACAAGACACAAAATTTATTACACTGTCTTACTTTTTACGTTTACACGTTTTAAAGTTTCACCAAAAGAGTATAATAAACCTATAGCAAAAAGCGCCAATAATTGTGGTGGATGTTTTTGGTAAAGGCTACAATATTGTTGGATTACAGGCAACCAAAAGTAAAACGTATATCCTGAAATCAATTTTAATTAAACAAAAAAAAAAACACAAAAAAAAACAACACAAACATTAATGAAAAATTCAAAACACGCCAATGAATGCATGTGAAATCTACAATATTTTCCTTTTTATTTATGTTCGTTCACGACACACGTGACCTTATTTTAAAGGCATAACAAAACAAGGAAGAGAGAGGAAGGACGAGAGAGAGAGCGACAGAAAAAGAGTAAGAAAAGTAGTAAACTAAAGTCTAGAGAGATAGAGGAGATTGTGTGCTAAATGTAAAAAAGAGGATAGTAATTTGAAAGAGTTGCCAAATTAAAGGATTTATTTCAGATATAAAAAGGATTTGGTATTGAGAATATTGATTAAGGATAATATACAAAAGATTGCCACAGATTTAGCGGTAATATCACAAAATTATCTTTAAAAAATGTTTTACTGTTTGATTATTTGAATGAAATCTAAAACATTTATATCACCTGATCCTCCTCTGATCAATATATAAGCGAGGATCAGCAGTTCATCTCAGCATTCTTCATACAAGATGTTTTATTGATCGATCGCCTAGATCATCAGATAGCCATTATCTCAAATGTTAAACATTTAAGTTAACTGATCTTTACTAGACTTTCTACATACGGGATGTTTAAAGGATAATTTTAATTAATGATCTTTAATTTCTGAAGTAAACGAGGATCAGCAGTTCATCTCAGTATTCTTCATACAAGATGTTTTATTGTTCGATCGCCTAGATCATCAGATAGCCATTATCTCAAATGTTAAACATTTAAGTGGACTGATCTTTACTAGACTTTCTACATACGGGATGTTTAAAGGATAATTTTAATTAATGATCATTAATTTCTGAAG